GCAAGCACAAGAAACATAAAGAAAAAGAATTACACAAATGGTTTAAAACTACGGATGAAGGGTATTATACTAAGGGAAATTGATCAGAGAAGACAAATAACATATTTCACTTATATGTAGAATCTAAAAAACCGGGGCGCTTGGGTGGCTCGGTGGGTTGGAGCCTCTGCCTTCGGCTCGGGTCATGATCCCAGGGTCCTGGGATCGAGCCCCGCATCAGGCTCTCTGCTCAGCGGGGAGCCTGCTTTCTTCTTTCTCTCTCTCTGCCTACTTGTGATCTCTGTCTGTCAAATAAATAAAATCTTTTTTTAAAAAAATAAATAAAATAAAAAACCAAACCAAACAAGGCAGGAATAGACCCATAAATACAGAGGACAAACTGGTGGTTGCCAGAAGGGAGAAAGGTACGGAGATGGGCAAAATGGGGTAAAAGGGAGAGGGAGGTGCAGACTTCCAGTGATGCAGTAAGTCACGAGAATAAAAGATACAGCCTAGGGAATACAGTCGATGGTAGTAGGGTTGTATGGTGATGGACAGGAGTTACACTTGTGGTGAACAGAGTATAACATGTAGACTTGTCAAATCACTGTGTTAGACACCTGAAACTAATCCAACATTATGGGTCGATTATACCTCAATTAAAAAATTTAAAAAGGCATATAGGGACACTTGGGTGGCTCAGTCAGTTTAGTGCCCAACCCTTGATTTCAGCTCAGGTCATAATCTCAGGGTTGTGAGATCAAGCCCCATGTCAGGCTCCACGCCAGGCTCCCTCTCCCTCTGCACCTCCCCCCAACAGTGGCATAGTCAATTATACCTCAATAAAATTTTTTAAAATGAAGGCAAAATAAAGACTTTTCCAGGCATAAAAGCTAGAAGAATTCACTACCAGAAGAGTGACACTACAAGAAATGTTAAAGTGAACCATTCACACAGAAAGAAAATGACATCATACGGAAATATGGAACTAGTCAAAGAAGAACGAACCCGAGAAATTGTAAATATATGGGTGAAATACAAAAGAGTATTTTTCTTTTAAATCCCCTTAAAAGACAATTAACTGCTTAAATACAACAGCAATGCATTACGGGGATTGTAACACACGTAGAGGTGAATGTACAGCACCAAATGTCTATGGTAGGAAACAAGGAAGATCCCAGGTTTATGCTATCCCCTCAAAAACTTGAAAAAGACAAACAAATGCAACCAAAACAAAGAAGGAAATAATAGAGATAAGAACAGAAAGTGATGAAATAAAGCTGAAAGAGAATCAATGAAACTAAAAGCTGGTTCTTAAAAAAGACCAATGAAAAAGAATAGAAAATGAACAAAGAGACATACACATTCGTGCCAAGGGTTCCAATGCAAGATCAACAGTGTTTTCAATAGCGCTGATTCAAGAGAAGATCCACATGGGAAAAAATTATCCTTAGCACCACACCTCACATTATATACAAATTATACAAAAAAAATTTCTACAAAGATTATCAGTAAAACAATAAAGCTTCCAGAAGATAGTATTAGAGAATAGCTTCATGACTGTGAAGCTGTGGGGTAAGCAATGATTTCTTAAATGGGTCACAAATACATTACCCATAAAGAAAAAGACCAATAAATTGTACTCATTAAAATTAAGAACTGGGGTCGCCTGGGTGGCTCCACTGGTTAAGCGTCTGACTCCTGGTTTTGGTTCAGGTCATGATCTCATGGGTCATGGGATGGAGCCCTGCATCAGGCTCAGCGCAGAGTCAGCTCCAAGATTCTCTCTCTCTGTCCCTGTCCACACTCGTGTGCGCCCTCTCTCTAATAATAAATAAATCTGGGTTCCTGAGTGACTCAGTTGGTTAAGCGTCTGCCTTTGGCTCAGGTCATGATCCCAGCCAGGGTCCTGGGATCGAGTCCCTTGTTGGGCACCCTGCTCAGTGGGGAGACTGCTTCTCCCTCTGCTTCAGCCCGCCCCCATGCTAGTGCACCCTCCCTCTCCTCTCAAATAAATAAAATCTTTAAAAATAAATAAATAAAAATAAATCTCAAAAAATTTAAGAACTATTCTCTATCAAAGACACAATTAGGAATATGAAAAGGTAAGCACCTACTAAAAGTAATTACTATTCATAATATACTTAAGATACCAACTTATTTCTGCTCTTGAGATAGAAATAAGAGCCTGCGAGATCTCCTTCGGTACATGCATCTACAGCTAAACTAAGTAAGCAAGAAATCTTTCCCAAAACAAGGCCAGGGGTACCTGGATGGCTCAGTCAGTAGAACATGTGACTCTTGAACTCTGGGTCATGAATTCAGGTCCTTTGCTGGGCATAAAGCATACTTGGGGGGAAAAAAAGCCAAACTTTCTCCCTAAAATTTCTTCAAGCATAATCCTGGTTTAGCAAGAAAATTCATGAAAAGCACAGGTTTGGGGGGAAGCAGGTGGGCAGGTGGCAGAGAATGGTGATCAGACTGCTATCAGTTTTTCTTCCGAAAACTGGATGAACTCCTGGAGGAATTTTATTTTATTATGTTTAAAAGATTTTATGTATTTATTTGAGAGGGAGAGAAAGAATAAGTGAGAGGACAAGAGCAGGAAGAGAGAGAAGGAGACTCCCCCTCGCTGAGCAGGGAGCCCAACAAGGGACTCGATCCCATAACCCTGGCATCATGACCTGAGCCAAAGAAAGACGCCTAACCAACTGAGCCACCCAGGCCCCCCTCACGGAGGAATTTTAAATGGTAAAACCTTCTGAGAAATTTTAAATGGCAAAAACTTCTTGAAGATATAATGGACAGGCTAGATGGGGCCCATTTTCTATAGCTGTCCATTTTTGGCTACACTTCAGCACAAGGTAAAATAAAAGACAGGTAGCTTCAACAAGAAACTGAAACGTGTTCCACGGGTGGTTTTGATACAAGACAAAAGGTTCCCATGACAGGGGCACAGTGGCGGACACAGACATGGAGGCACAGACAAGGAAAGGATCGGGAACCAACTCAATCCACGTTTCACCCAAGGGAAACAATATGGCGTGCCCCGTGCCTAGCACGTGAGAGTTCAACGAGAATACACTGAACGAGTGAATAAACCAATGAATAAATGAAGGGGAAAGACTAAAGTGACAGTAGGACAAGAAGGAAAGATAGCCGTGTGAAGAGAGACAAATATCCTGACGGAAAAGAAAAGCCAGGAAAAGTGCATCGTGGTAAGGCAAAGAGCAAGTCAGTTGGCAGAAGCAACCAAGAAAGCAAAACGCTACAGGGAGGAAGGAAAATGAAATGGTTGAAATCTTCTGAAAGTCTGCAGGAAGAGAGGACAGAAACAGAAACTACATCGCTCCTAATAAGAGCAAACCCAGCCCATACCGACGTTCGGGTCACCTGAGAATTCCAAGGGGAATCTTCGCTACCATTCACATTCATTTCCTAGGTGCCAGGTACTGTGCTAAGCTAAGCTATGTTTCCTCAGTTACAGCCATTTGTAGAATTAACTCAAAATATCCCAAATCAAGCTGAGCTGACACGAACCACCACCTGAGGAAGCATGACTGATCGTATCTGTAACTGTGAGAGTGTTAAGTTCAACTGTCCTTTATCTGAAAAAAAGAATTATGTTAATGGTAAGGACACAGTCTTGACTGATACATAAAATGGAACCTTGGAGAGGGAAGAAAACGGCAGCATTCTCCAATCCTATCTAGGAGAAAGGGGAGGCCGGGCCACCTGACCATTAGTAAATCCAACTAACTCTTCTTCCAGGCCCTAATGAGCTCCCCATGTAGTTTTGCTTAGTGAACATTTGTACTATTTAATGATTATTTCTGACGATAAACTGGCATTTTGGTGTCTACATTAGTCTCTAGAGAATCAGTTCTCTGAGCCTCATCAGCTCTGGGTGTAATAACGAATCATATTTTAAGCCTAGAAACCAAAACACCGGGCTCTAGAGAATTTATGTCCATACAACGATACTGTGAAAGTCTAGGAGTCGGCCTGGGGCAGATAGCCGGTCTCCCCTCTATCTTGCCTAACATCTATTCAAACCACAATAAAACAACAACAACAACAAAAAAAACCAAACAAACAAAAAAACAAAAACAAACAAAAAGAAAACCCGAGCTGAGTCTGAAGGCCATCTTTTGGCTCCACAGACAGGGATCTATCTCGGAATGGCCCCACTGTACTAAGTGAATCCTAGGACAGTTCCCTGAAACAGAAAGGGCTTTCTCACCGTCACGGAAGGGGTTGTGTATTCATTGATCCACAGCTTTCAGATAAGGCAGATACCAAGCACCTCTAATGACACGATCTTGAAAACCATTTGGCACATTAGAAATACTCAGCGCTTAAGAAATGATTAAAGAGGGCGCCTGGGTGGCTCAGTGGGTTAAGCCTCTGCCTTCGGCTCAGGTCATGATCTCAGGGTCCTGGAATTGAGTCCCACATCGGGCTCTCTGCTTGGCAGGGAGCCTGCTTCCTCCTCTCTCTCTGCCTACTTGTGATCTCTGTCTGTCAAATAAATAAATAAAATCTTAAAAAAAAAAAAAAAAGAAATGATTAAAGAATGGCTCAATCTTGTAGAAGACAGAGCTGAAGTAAACTGTTCTAGCCACTGTAGGGATCATGCCAAAGAAGATCAAGGGAAGTCAGGCCACAGGACTCAAGTAGCCCTGGGGCCACAAGCCAGTTCCTGAGACTGCCTGGCCCTTGGGCTCCTCTTCTGTAAAATGAAAGGATGGGACTAGGTATCTCAAAGGTCCCTTTCCATTCTAAATTCTATTCCAATCGGTTCCTTCAGTGATAAATGGGAAAAGTACAGAAACAAAGTTACCAAGAAAACTGAAAAGTAGCTTTCCTCAACAATATAGTACATTTCTCCCCAAGTGGAATCTGTTTTACCTCCATTACAATAAAACTAGATCCAATGAGATAAAAGAATTAGCATATAGAGTAAAACATCAGGCTACTACAGGCGTAACTGGAGAATAAAAACAAAAAGGAAAACTTACGTATGTCTCTCATATCTGAGGGTTTCTCGGATGGACCATGCCACCTGGTACGGCGAGGCCTGCTCTGAGTCCTCTGGTTCCTCTCCGCTCTCTTCTGACCAGTCCAACCCTGGGACATATGAGAAGATATTGCAAGTTAGAAAAAAATGCATTTTTATTTAAAATTTAGGAAAAAAGCTACCCAAAATGTATAACCCAAAACCTACAGCGCATACTACCACTGTATGAATAAATGCCTCCCTATTCTGACAAAGATATTAATAATGATGTGTGACATAGACTCAGGTTTAAAAAAATGACTGTAACAAAAAAAGCTGTATTGCAAGGATGAACTTCTTTGTCAGACACTTCACAGATGGAGGAGAAACATAAGCAGAGAGTTCAAGTCTTTCCTCCCACCAAAATATCATACATTAAACATTACACGTAAAGTCAGAAAAACTATAGAACAAGGGTAATGTATGTGCAGATAAGAAAGAAGTTGAAATATACTGGGAGATTCACGCTACACTTCCACAAAGGAGGGCCCTAGGATAAACTGCCAAAGGCAGACACTTCATCCATCCCCTTTCCTGACACCTCCAGAGGAAAAGGACTCCATCCACCAGGCAGGGACATGCCCCGGCTCTTGCCCTCTGCAGGAAGAGGGAAGGGTAAGAGGTCAATATTCTATTTCTACTGTGGCCTGGGCTTTCTCTGAATTCTTTTAAACAAGAGCTGTCACATTTTGTGGCATTTTGAAAAACAAGTTTAGAGGGGAAAACAGAGAAATATAGGATGAACAATGCTTACTTATTTTGTTAGATGCTACTAATTCTAACGATTGGATAATTATTAGCTTCCAACATACAGGTTTTACCTTCTTGGAAGTTTTTTATCTTGAAAAGGCCTCAATAAGTACCGATGTTGCACAGTCTAACATGCGTAACTTTAATATACTGATACCGCTACTACACTTGAACGAGATACCTTGAGAACTAGTAATCAGTCTTCCTTCTTGAGACCCTCAAAAATCAAAAAACCATCTTCATTAGACAGTTATGTTAGAAGGGACCTCACAGGTTGGTTCTATAATTTAAATGAGTCTACATGTGCCAAATAGGGAAATTAAGAAAAGGGGAATCGAAATGCAAATTATAAATGCTTAAAATTAAGTAACACATTGCCACTGGCATAAAGAAACCTCAAATCTAGTTCTAAGATGACTATCCAAATGTTAGGTCACCTTAAAAAGTAAGTTTCTCAAAAAAAAAGTTACTTTCTCGTAAATAATTAGTGGTAAAAAAAAAAAAGTAAACAAGTAATCAGAATAGCATTAGCTTCAGGACAGGATATTGAAAGGCGAAGTCTTTCAAACACAAAGTGACACCTAAGGTATCTTTTAAAATTAGGATATGAATTATTTTTTATCATTTTTGTGTAATTAATAATAATTTCTACTAAGTCACCTCTATCTTCTCGGAAAAAGTCAAGATCTAAGTTGTAAAAACTAAGATGGAAGTATTTCTTTTGTGAAATTAACTGTCCAATAAAGCAAACCTTTGATCTTGGCTTCATTATCACTAGTTTTAATATAACTAACTGAGATAACCAGTGCAGATAAAACTGTAAAACCTGGTTACAAGACTGCATTTTTCTTCAAGTATTCTTTGCTGACATGAAGGCAGACTACACTTGGTCATAACAGTGCATTACAATTTCTGGCTTCTCCAGAGTAACCTTTGTTTTGAAAACTTAGGACCCTAATATGCTTGAATTAAAAAAATTAAAAATAAAAGGGGGGCTGCCTTCAACTTAGGTCATGATCCCAAGGTCCTGGGTTGGAGCCCTGTGTGGGACACCCTGCTGCTCCCTCTCCCTATGACTCTTCTCCCTGCACATGCTCTCACTTGCTCTTTCTCGCTCTCTGTCTCAAATGAATAAATAGAAATTATTAAAAAAAAAAAAAAAGACAATACGTTTTCTATAAGTTTTCATTCTGTTCAAAATGACAAAAACCAAACCAACAAAAGTTTGTTTCAAAAGCTAAAAATATTACCAGCATCCATAAATACACAAAAGTATAAATACTTAATAGATGACATGGGTACATTGTAGACTAAGAGGCAAACATTTGGGAAGAAATAAAGTTAGATTTTGCCCCAAAACTAGTACCCAATGAATTCTAAATAGAGGACTATAATGTAAATAATCAAACAATAAAAGAACTAAAAGAAAATATGGGTAAACTGGGGCGCCTGGGTGGCTCAGTGGGTTCAGCTCAGGTCATGATCTCAGGGTCCTGGGATCGAGCCCCACATAAGGCTCTCTGCTCAGCAGGGAGCCTGCTTCCTCCTCTCTCTCTGCCTGCCTCTCCACCTGCTTGTGATCTCTCTCTCTGTCAAATAAATAAATAAATTCTTAAAAAAAAAAAAAAAAAATGGGTAAATGTATTTCATTGGAGCCCAAACAAGTAAGAAACAAAATAAAGCAAAACAAAAGTCTGATTCAAAAGGAAAAAATTCTAAAAAAACAGAACGTATAAACACTTTTAAATCAAATTCCAGAATCATTATCATAGATATTTAAAAGCAAATAACAGGGGCGCCTGGGTGGCTCAGTGGGTTAAAGCCTCTGCCTTCGGCTCAGGTCGTAATCCCAGGGTCCTGGGATCAAGCCCCACATCAGGCTCCCTACTCAGCGGGGAGCCTGCTTCCTCCTCTCTCTCTGCCTGCCTCTCTGCCTACTTGTGATCTCTGTCTGTCAAATAAATAAATAAACAAAATCTTTAAAAAAAAAAAAAAAGCAAATCTAACAGGGACCCCTGGGTGGCTCAGTTGGTTAAGCGGCTGCCTTGGGCTCGGGTCATGATCCCAGAGTCCTGGGATCGAGTCCCGTATCAGGCTCCTTGCTTGGTGGGGAGCCTGCTTCTCTCTCTGTCTCTGCCTGCCACTCTGTCTGCCTGTGCTTGCTCTCTCTCTCTCTCTGACAAATAAATAAATATAAATAAATAAATAAAAGCAAATAACAAATAGGAGGAGAGGCTTTGCAACAAACATGAAGTATGTATAAAAAGATCTTACCAAATCAATTTAAAAAAAGAAGCCCTTCAATAGAAATGAGTGAAAAAAACTCAAAATAAACAAAAAATACAAATGTCCAAAAAAGCATTATCAACACATATTCAAAGCTACATTACTAATTCAAAACAGCAATTTTCACTTAAAGAATGGCCCATAAATCCCCAGGGGTCCCAAAAACCCTCTTAGGGAGTTCCTTAGGTCAACGCTATCCTCAAAATAAGACGACATCATTTGCTTTTTTCACTGTGTTGGCATTTACACTGATGGTTTAAAAAAAAAAAGGGGGAGGGCGTTGGGTGGCTCAGTGGGTTAAGCCTCTGCCTTCGGCTCAGGTCATGATCTCAGGGTCCCTGGATCGAGCCCCGAATCAGGTTCTCTGCTCAGCGGGGAGCCTGCTTCCCCCCCCCCACCCTGCCTGCCTCTCTGCCTACTTGGGATCTCTGTCAAAATAAATAAATAAAATCTTAAAAAATAAAGAAACAAAGAAACAACACAGCAGGTAAACCTGCTGGTACCTCAATATGAATCAGGGCGGTAGCACCAAACGACACAAGCAGTCACTCTGTTTCACACCATGACGTGCAGTTACACGAATAAATAATAAGTAAGTAAGTTTTAATATTATCCTTAGGGCACCTGGGTGGCTCAGTCACTTAAGCCTCTGCCTTCAGCTCGGGTCAGGAGCCCACGGTCCTGGGATGCAGCCCCGCACTTTGGTGGGGAGCCTGCTTCTCCCTCTGCCTGCCGCTTGCCCTGCTTTGCTTTCTCTCCCTCTCTCTGACAAATAAATAAAATCTTAAAAAAAAAAAAAAAAAAGAATATCCTTGAAAATCTTGGTGTATTAAAGACTATTTTATTAAATCTTAGTTCTTGACAACACATCCTCACAGCAGTCTTTGTAACCCCGTGTGAAGTCAGAAGGCCCCCATGCTGCACCCCGAAGGTGTATGGTGGTTGTCTTGAAGGAAAGCACTGGCGGCACTGGTGTAACTGTGACCTCAACTAGCTGTTTTTCCCATTCAACATCATTTTTATTTGAAAGAGCGACTGACAAGCGCTGGTTATTAAGACTTGGATTTTTCTAAAATGAACACAGCGAAACTGTCACTTCAAGGAAAACAATGGACAGGATTTGCTGCCAAAATTCAGATTTTCACTTGAACGCTTGATTTTTGTTTTTTGAAAACTTGGAAGTCATCACTGAGTCTATGACAACTTTCTCACAGAGTTTTCCGATGAGACTGCTGACAGTATTAACGAACGTGATTCTGTTCTGTTTTTGAGTAGGCTTCACACCTAGCATGTAGCCCAGCCCAGGGCTTGAACTCACAACCCTGAGATCAAGACCTAAGCTGGGATCAAGAGTTGGATGTTTAACTGATGAAGCCACCCAGGGGTCCCACGAATGCGGTTTTTAAAATTTTGTATAATTAAGTATGTCCACATTTGGAACATGTGCTTAACTAGGTAAACCAATATTTTCCAAATTACCAGTGTATGGTATTACAAAATCATGCGTGGGTAAAAAGACCCATTCAAAGTGCAAAGCAGATCAATGGATTTTAATGTAATGGCTTGCAAAATTCCTTGACATGGTTTCAGATTTCACAACTGATCTTTAAGAAACTACCATTTGTCATATTTTGGCGTAGGATCAAATAAGAATATCCACAATTATTTTTAAAAAGCTAGTAAAATATTCTTCCCTTTTCCAACTACAACGTGTAAGCCATATTTTCACATATTAATCAAAACCACAAATCACGACAGATTGAATGCTGAAGCAGACAGGAGAATCTAGCTGTCTTCCAGCAAATCACACATTTTTTTAAGATTTACAAAACAAGGGGCGCCTGGGTGGCTCAGCTGTTGAGCTCTGCCAGGGTCATGGGATCAAGCCCCGTATCAGCTCCCTGCTCAGTAGGAAGCCTGCTTCTCCCTCTCCCCCTGCTTGTCTTCCCTCTCTAGCTGGGTCTCTCTCTGTCAAATAAATAAATAAAATTAAAAAAAAAAAAAAAAGATTTACAAAACAATGTAAAATAATGATGCTCTTCTCATTATATTTCTTTTCAGAAGACATAGCTATTTCACAAAAAGAACATGTTACCATGTTTAAAAATGCATTAACATTTAAAAAATTTCTCAGTTATAACTTCTAATTCAGTACATATCAACAAATGTAACTCACATACACAAAGGCTCTATGGTGTCCTCAATCATGTTTAGGTGTAAAGGGATTCTAAGGCCAAAACTTTGAGAAGCACTGATCTAAGGTATGCAAATTAAAGCTAATTTTCTATCATATTTGCAAAGGCACAATAATAACCAATATCCAGTACTGTGTAAAGATGTAGAGAAACTGTCATGCTTATACCCTGCTGAAAGAAGGGTACTGTGACAAAACAGCTGAGGGAAAATTTGACAACATGTATCAAAAAGCTTTTAAAAAAATGCAAAAGCTTGGAATAGCAATTCTGCTTCTAAGAATCTGAAGGAAAAATTAAAGATGTGACAGTAATTCTTTTACTATGAGGCTATACAGCTACAACACTTTATAATAACATAAACTGGAAACAACCTAAATTAGAGAAAGAATTCAGCTGTGACAAATTACACTGTGTATGAGAAATCACTACCTTCACAATACATCATGAAAAATTTTAAAACAGGTTATAAAACGTATGTATAGCAGGAACCCAATTTTACAGATATGAAATATACTAAGGCATTAACAAACGGGTATTAATAAGATTTGGGTGTTTTACTTCTTTTCCTCTATACCTTTTCTCTAAGTTTTATTAGTTGTTTTAATTATCAAAAGTCACACATGGTTTAATAACAGGTGAAACAATATAAAACTCTAATATCAGAAGAGCTGCCATCCCCATCTCCATAAAAGCACATCCAGTCTAATTCTGTCTTCCCCTTGATAGTCAGTGTTAACAGCCTGGTCGTGTATAACCACTCACGCTTTAGAGACCTGTGCTTACACCCAACAGGCAAACATCTATCTGTCCATATGCCTGATCGATAGATAACACTGATGTCCCTTGTTTTTTTATTTTATTTTTTTTAAGATTTTATTTATTTATTTGACAGAGAGAGAGATCACAAGGAGGCAGAGAGGCAGGGAGAGAAGCGGCGGGGGGCGGGGGGGAGCAGGCTCCCTGCTGAGCAGAGAGCCCCATGCAGGGCTTGATCCCAGGACCCTGAGACCATGATCTGAGCAGAAGGCAGAGGCTTAACCCACTGAGCCACCCAGGAACCCCTTTTCACTTTTATTTTTATAAAAATGGGGTAATACAATACCTATGGATTTTTTTCTCCTTGGTAATATAACATGCGCACATCTACTTATATTGTTTGAGGATTTTTAAATACCACCAGCAATGCTACAATAAACATATCCTTACATTCTGGTATTTTCTTCACCCATAGGAATAGAGTCCCAAAAGTGAGTCTGTTGGCTATATACACTCTTAATTAGTAAATAATGTCACATTACTCACCAGGAATGTAGACGCTTCCTCAACACTGGATATAATTTTTGCCATTCTGATATTAATTGTTAGTCTAATTTGCATTTCCACACCTGCTATGGGGATTGAGGTTTTCATTGGTTTACTGACCATTTATATTTCTTCTTCCTCTATTCCCATCCTTTTCCTATTTTTCTATTACTATCATGTCATGCAAATGATTTTTCCTAAAGTTAGAATCGTAGTTTACACCATAATTAAAGGTTGAAATAATCAAACACAAAACAATCAAACTATCAATAAGAAAATATAAAATACCTGGATAAACCTGGGATCAGACAGATTTTCTTGAGTAAGAAAATTCAGAAGCAATGAAGGAAAGACATTTCACTACATTAAAGTTTTACCTGTATTTTTTCACTTTTAAATCATGAATAGGTATTGCTTTGGGAAATTTTTTTTTTACAAGTTTTTTTTTTTTTTAAACTGTCAGCAGGTATTAATGATATCATTATTCCAAAGTCCTAAGATAAGACATGTCGAAAAGTTCATCAGACACAGGTGCTGAGCTCACAGGGGCAGAGAACCACACAACTGCCTTTTAATACTGATGGTGCTACCACTAACTTAGAAACTGTGACTGAGGTTCCAAATTTCCCAACTCCTACTTCCATATCCTGTCCACCAAGGATCATCCTCTCCCCCACAGCGTATTGCCTTTATGATGGCCTCCCCAAACACAGTCCTTCCCAGGACCATGGGGTCTCAGGGTCCCTCCAGCCCCGTGACATACACGGCAGTTCTCAACACAGAGCCTCCTGTGGAAGGGGAGGCACCTTCCGTGCATGCAATCAGGGAAACGAGAGAACTCACCTAAATGGGGAAACAGATCAGTGTCCAACTGATGTTTCTGGGTGCACAGTTTCACCAGTCTCTGCAGGCGACTTATACAGGAGAAGTGTGGCGAGAAGGCTGTGGCTTTCATGAGGACCCGGTCAGTCCTGGGTGGGTCCGCAGCGGGAGCCCTACTGGATGGCAGGAGGGGCAGTGGCCTCTTGTGGGACAACTGCCTTGCTTGTGCTATAGTGTGCGTGGTGGGGGCCACTCCCTGCATTGGTAGGCTGGTGTTCGGAGGTGGAGGTGACTTGCAGACTAAACCCTGCGGTGGCGGTGGCGCTGGAGGTTTCAAAGAAGTGGATAAAGGTGACAGGTGGGAGTGCTGCTGCGGGGGCTGCTGCTGTGAAGGCGCAGGAGGGGGACTAAAGTGCTCTTGTCGGACTTTCAAAATCTCGGTCTCTCTCTGGCGCTGCCGATTCTGGGCCAACTTGCTCTGCAACTTCTTTCTCACAGTTGCCCCTTTCTTTAGGTCGTCATCTTCCTCGTTGAAAGCGAATGGGTCTTCCAACTCGGTTTCCAGGTAATGGAGAGGGACCCTAGCCCCGGGTGGAGAGAGGGACATGCCATCCAGTCCATTGGGCATCTTCAAGGCCAACGGGGGCACCGTCAGGCTAAAGGCCATGGTATCCATCTGGTGCCTGACCTTCACCTCATCTATAGGATCATTCTTTTTCTTCCTCTCTTTTTTCGGGATAAAGCCAAGTACCTGCAAGTGGCTGTTGCAGTACCTTTAAAAAGATACACACACACAGGGAATTGTTCATGATATCCACTAAGAGAAGTCGAATGTAAAACTACGCAGTACAAAATGTAAATCCTACCTAATATATTAAACAGGCATGACTAGAGGAACTTTTGGCACTCATGGATTTAATACCAACCACCTGCACTACTCTCAAGCACGCCTCCATGTCTGCAATTTTCCTGAAGCAAATAGGGGAGTTGTGTGTGTGCAGAGGCCGCCCAACAGAAGCCAGTCGGGCAAATACTGAGCGGCCCTGGATAACCATCCAGCTGTGGCTTCTCACTCTGCTTTGTGACTTTGTATGCGCAGCACAAAATAACTCATCAAGTCTAAAGGATCTCTAAAAACTCTTGTTATGGGGAGGGGGAAAAATATGTACATATATATATATTTATACGTATATATACTATATATATATATATATACACACACACATATATATTCCAATGTCATTCAAGTATTTGCAGATTCCCAACGATCTTATGACATAACCCCTAAAAATATCAAGTGTCTACACTATATTCTACACACACAGACAAACTGAGAGAGAGAGAGAGAGAGAATAAAGAAGGGAAGGAGATGGTAAAATAATAAAACTAGTTAGAGGCATTATAGATGAAATGAGTTCCTTAGTAGCCAGAGAAGTACATGTTTTCTACCTGCAGCAGGTACTAAAATAATGCCCTTTATACAGATGAGGAAGCTAAACTTGATAAAAATTAAATAACTTGCCCCAAACCCCCATCTGGAAACTGACAGAGCTGAGACTCAAAGGAAGAATCAAAGCCCAGAAGACTCTCCCTAGTCTTCAGCAATGAGGTTACTTTTGTAATGTCAATGGTATTTTCAAAATACTAAAAAGGACAGAATCTTCTACTTAATAAGAAGGCAGAATGCATGTTGTTCCCATAAACCACACTGAAAACCTAAGGAGGCTTTTAACCGGTAGAAAAGTAGTGTTTCCCAGACTGGTACTCTTTACACAGTTCAGAAGGTCAGCAAGTATGCCGTAAAAAGACTAGTCCACACTTAAATAAATTCGGAAAATGCTGGCTTCAACAGAATTAGTAATTTTGTTGTTTGCTTCTGCTGAACAACTTCTCAAAGCATTTTGTATGATAATGTGCATTATGCTTCAAGGTGGCAATATACCTGTCTGGCAGTGTTTCCCAAACTTATTTGAAAATGCCATCTATTTTTATTGTAGTGCACCTGTGATATCTCTACAGAACAGGGTTTGCGGGAAAATGGCAATGAAGTAATTAATGTCAATCCTCAAACTCACTGGGCTGTATCAGACAAATTTTTAAATATTTGTTCAAAATACATATTCACCAAGGAATCAAGAGACACATGGTTTTGTTGGTTTATCTTAGAAATCAATCTCTCAGAAACACGCCTCAATTTTAATAGGACTATTAAGAAAAAGCTTTCAGGGCAGTCAGGAAAATCTGTACCACGTGTGTGTGCACATGCCTGCACATACACACATAACAGGTTGGGGTTAGGTCTCAGATAGACCTTAAAACAGAATAGATTTATAAAGCTGTAGCCAACAAGGAAAAAAGGTTTCAAGGGGTAACTGCATGATTTTTGTTGTTTTTTCAAGTCATTTTTAAATTAACAAAAGGATTAGTAGAGGAGAAATGAGATGGGATTAAACTTGGAAATGGAATTTTTCTGCTCATTACACGTGGGCAGCCCCCACGGGAAACGGTGCTTCCTCCGTGCCACCGCCGGTCACCGGGCAGAGACCTGCAGGTCCAGCCCTCCTTCCACCTCACCCTGGACTCCCGCTCCAGCTGCGCTCTCAGCACTACCACCACCGAGCCTGAGCTGGTAGAACACTTCCTCCTCTAGAAGGGAAGAGCTTTCACAGCTAGAATTACAAGAGCTTCCTTCATTATGATCAGCATTTAAAAGAAGTACGCAGGGTGTACTGGGTGGCTCAGCCGGTTAAGTGTCTTCAACTCAGGTTACGATCCCAGGGTCCTGAGATCACACCCCATGTCTGGCTCCCTACTCAGCGGGGAGTCTGCTTCTCCCTCTGCCCTGCTCATGCTTTCTCTCTCTCTCTCTCTCTCTCTCTCTCAAATAAATAAATAAAATCTTAAAAAAAAAAAAAAAGAAAGAAAGAAAGAAAGAAATGCCCTTTAAAAAAAAAGATACGCAAATATGACTGAATAACTACACAGGGGAGTGACTGCTAATGGGTTCTTCCGAAGGGATGAAAGTGCTATAAATCAGACTGTGATGATAGTTGTACAACCCTGTAAATATACTAAAAAATACTGAATGGACACTTCAAATGAGTGAATTGTATCAGATGTGAATGATATCTTAATTTAACCGTCTAGGAAAATAGTAAACATACAAGAAACAAAAAACTTCTTGACAAATAACACTATTAAAAGTATATAAAATTATAGCAAACATATTTAAAGTATTATGTAAAATAACCAATTTAATATAACCACTTATCTCTCTGAGAAACCAAGGCCACAGCAATAAGCCTTAGCTTCCTACCGTACAAGTACATTAGAAAATGAACTTTACTTTTTTAATTATACCAGTACTCCTACTAAACATAACACGATTCTACTCCAAAGAGGCAGAATCCCATAAGTTAGCATTTTTAATACATACCAGAAGTTAGACATCAGATACTAAGAAGCTTCCTTTAGCTGACCACCAAAATTAGACAATTTTATCAACTAAAAGTCCTTGGGAAATGTTTTCTAAAATAATACATAAAACCATCTCATATTCCTAAGTGTCCGAAGAGTAACTGCATTAACAATAATGAAGGCTTATTTTCAAAAGAATATCACCTTTTTCTACGTTATGTCATACAGTGTAGTTATTAACTATCAATATTTACACACATGCTAGACCTCATAGCAATTCAACCTGGATTTCTTGAGGCAACATAAGAACATTACCTCCTACTGATGTCTACTTTAATCTATTTCCTAACAACCCTACAAATAATAAAAATATTAATACCATTTGCATTGGTTTGAACCAATTTTTTTTTTTTTAATTTATGTAACTTAGTACTTCAGGGTAGTTTCTCTCAACATAGCCACACAAAAGTCCTTCCCCTTCTTTTCTTGTTCTAAAAAGAGGAAATTACTTTGAATAGCAAGGTGAAGACCTATGATTCAGAGAATTAATATTGTGGAGAAATTCAGAGCAACTCTTATTTTACTTCTCCCTGCTAGCTAGTAAGATAGTACTTGCTTCTGCTAAAACGAAAAAAAAAAAACCAAGGTGGACAATTGCAAAGGTGGTAAACTAAATTTAAGACAAAATTAAATTTTTGTCTTAAAAATTTAATGTCTGGCTGGCTCAGCAGGAGGAGACTGGGACTGTTGATCTCAGGGTCATGAATTTGAGCCCCGCATTGGGTGTAGAGATTACTTAAATAAGTAACTTTACAAAAAAAAAAAAAAAGACAGATGTGTTATATTATAGATGTGTTTACAGTGGAGCCTGGAGTAAAAAATGAATCCAAGTTCATCAATTCTTCAAGTTAAAAAAGGCCAGGGCTGGGGCGCCTGGGTGGCTCAGTGGGTTAAGCCTCTGCCTTCAGCCCAGGTCATGACCTCAGGGTCCTAGGATTGAGCCCCACATCAGGCTCTCTGCTCGGTGGGGAGCCTGCTTCCCCCTCTCTCTCTGCCTGCCTGCCTACCTGTGATCTCTGTCAAATAAATAAAATCTTAAAAAAAAAAAAAAAAAGGCCAGGACTAAGAAATGGACAGGTTAAGTCAGCTAGAAGCAGCTAGACAGGTATGTTTAGCCAGGTACAGTGGTCCCTTTCTCATCGGAGATTAAAATTTTATTCCTTGCCTCACTGAGCAGCTGCTTCTAACTTTCAGGCACTGTAATGTGAAGCTTTAAGTGCTCATTAGAAATTCCAAGGGAGTATTCCCAAATCACCACATGATGCTATCTATACTCATTTTGGTGGGAGCTCTATGAACACAAATTATTTATTTATTTCACTGTAAAAGTGAAAAACTGCTCACCATGACATATACAAAACATGACCTCTTTTCGACCAATTTATGCAGGTGACATCTGCTTACGCATAGGAACAAGGACCAAGGTTGTACATACATATTTGAGAGATAAAGGTAAAACGTTCCCATTTTCTACCTAAAGATAACAGTATTGGAAACTTTTGGGAAAGTAATTGTGCATCTGTCTGTAATATCCTACAATGACCCACATGGTTTCTGGAGAACTGAAGAAAAAGAAATGAAAAAAGAGATTATACATGAATTTTCTTGAGACTATGAAAGATAAGTATCATAAGACTCTCTAAAAACATCTCCATGTTTTTTAATTCAGCCTAGTAAAAATTCATAATCCTAGTGATAAAGCCTATTCTTACTATGAACATACCATTTCTCAATTATGTTAAACATACTTTATATGGAACTTTTTTAACCAAAAGAGGCAAGATTACAGAGCAATGCCAAATACTGTTTCGAAGTCTGATAGAACGTACATCATCTTAGTAATTCAAGTAATCATTTTTCTGAATAATTCTTTTTCAGTAAGTACACACCCTTTGCTACCTTTCAAGCACAGATTAAAAAATTCCAAAATCATTACCATTAATTGTAACACCTAAGTAGTTCCTGTAATTTCTGTTGTGTAAGCAGATTTCTATCGTAATCAGGAACTACTTTTTATAAGACTGCAAACCAAAGCAACGATTTTGAGGGGAAAAATTCTTTTCAAGTCTATTAAATCAATAATTTAAAAACAAAAAAACACACTCAAACTTACTTTTCAAATAACTCTTCAAGTTCTCTACTCCATTTTCTAGAATGTTTCAATTCCCCCCATTAAAAAAAAAAAAAAAGAGAGAGAGAGAGAGACAAAAAAGGACAATTCCAAGCCTATGGATGAAATCAAAGATGGATTCCCATGATTAGTCTTACCTACGATCCTCTGATTTGGGGATGGGGTTGGTGCAACGTTGGCTGTTATACTTGGCCACATATTCACATTGCTTGAAGGGGGCAGTCTTGTCCTCCAGAACGTGTCTGATACAGAAAGCGTACCCGTTCAGTCGCCGCTGCTTGCACAGTTTGGGGCTATATGAGCACAAGGGCTTATTGTCAACCTCAGAGAAGTGTATATGTTTCCCTTCATACATCACGTGACTCTATTCCTTGTGAACATCAGCTAAAAGACCACCACAAAAAAAGAAACCCAAAGGATAAATCAGAGAGTGTAAGGCACATTTAAGCTGAGAATTTCACTGAGGGACTTCTGGCCCCACAGCCATACCTGATTTTAAATCTTCTGCACCATAGCAATGTTAAGAGAACCCCAAGGATACCACAGTTTGGAATGCTGCAGAATCAAGATGAAGCAGATTGTCTACAAAAATATCAAAAGGCCTAGTTAACAAACAGAAACGAGAAAGGCTTGTTCACCTGGGAAGTGAAATAAATACGAGGATATCACCCTTCCTAACGAGATGGATTCTCCTCGGTAATCCATCATCCCGATATTCAATTAAAATAGTAAGAGACATTATAACGTATCAAGTTACCTCACCCCTCCAAATTGCAGGAAGTAACTTTTACTCTGGGAAAGGTCTGTGAGTACCTCAAAGCAGCGGGCTCTTCCACCAAACCCATGTCGGAAGGCGGCAGGTCTCTGTATTTCATTACTGGCGGCTGAACGCTACCGCTATCTTCGGAACGCACAATCTCTTCACAATACCAATGCAATGAACCTCTAGACCTAAAATGTCCCTCAGAAGTTTGACATTTTTTGAGGTCAGCAAAATATTTGGCCGTTTGCAACAAACGTTTCTATGAAACACCAAAAAGGGGGGGGGCAATCCCTGTTTTAGAAGTCCTTTTCCCCCCTATTATTTACCCACGTCGATCCCACCCAAACTGTAACTTCTTGGGCCCAAAGACTAGTCACCTAACTACGCCTCCGCCACCCAGAGCGAGGCTCTACACCACATGCTGCGTCCAATGACACGAAACAGTTTAGCAATCGGGAGTGAGGAAATGTTTGGAGTTCTGGTAACAAATGGAAGGAAGAAACCGTGTGAGCACCCACTACTTCCCTCTGCACACACAATGGCCAGCAGTAACGTTTACATATTTTAACACCAGACAGTCTACAGTGAAAACTGATTTGTCAAGTCAGGCTACTGGGGGCGCGTGGGATTCAACCCGCTTTCTCCAGAATCTACAAGTCATCCAGATGGGCTGATGGACTAGCTTGAACACATGGCGACAGAAAACTCGAGAACACACTCCTCTTTACAAAGCTGAATATGAAATTCCTTACATCCATAAATGTCAAGACACATGCTTAGAGGAGTCAGAAGACAAGTTTGCCAAAATCTGCCACTTAGTGTTACCTTGAATAAATAATACCACCTCGGTTTTCTCACCTACGAGGGGATAACAGCAACTGTTATCAGGTTGCTCTAAGGTCAAGTGATACAAGGTGCGCAACGCACCAACTACCTTGTCTGGTGCATGGTAAGCACCGAACAAATGAAGTTATTAAAAAATGTTAACCTTATTACTTTCATTCTACCTGTTGGTGATAAAGGTGGAGAATCTGTATTGCTCTTAAGCATTTCACTGCAGCAGAAAAAACTGTGAAGTATTAGCTTAGTTAACAAACCTAATTAGAGATCAATGTAAATAAAAAAATAAGAGCTTTCAGGATGCCTGAGTGGTTCAGTCTGTTAAGTGTCTGCCTTCTGCCCAGGTCATGATCCTAGGGTCGTGGAATCAGTCCTGCAAGGAGCCTGCTTATCCGTCTGCCTGCCACTCCCCCTCTTGTGTTCACTCTCTCTTCCTGACAAATAAATAAAAGCTTTAAAAAAATCAAAAGTAAGAGCTTTCCCTTTTTAGTTTATTAGGATATAAGGAAAAGAAGTTGTATTAAAAATTTAACTGCCGGGGCCCCTGGGTGGCTCAGTGGGTTAAAGCCTCTGCTTTCAGCTCAGGTCATGATCCCAGGGTCCTGGGATCGAGCCCCATATCAGGCTCTCTGCTCAGCAGGGAGCCTGCTTCCCTTTCTCTCTCTGCCTGCCTCTCTGCCTACTTGTGATCTCTGTCTGTCAAATAAATAAATAAAATCTTTAAAAAATTAAAAAAAAAAGACTTATTTCCTGTTATGTTAAGGAAGTACCAAATAATTCGTTTTATTCAGTTGTTTCTTTAAAAAAACAAAACAAAAAACAAACAAAAAACCCTCAGAAATGATGGTTAATTTTACCAAATTCTTTTTCAGCTTCTTGAAAAAAAATCTTTTTTCTCTTTTGTTCTGTTAAAAACATGGCATTTAGTACTTCCCAATACTGATGTATTAATATTTCCTGATAGTTCATCCTGAGAATGTGGTCATTGTGTATTATTCTTTGCTAAATTACATTTGCTAATTTTTAGGATTTTTGTAATTTGAAAATGGTCTAGAGCTTGGGTTTTTTAATGTTTTTTCAGAATTTGGTATCAATGGGGCACCTGGGTGGCTCAGTGGGTTAAAGCCTCTGCCTTCTGCTCAGGTCATGATCCCAGGGTCCTGGGATTGAGCCCCGCATTGGGTTCTCTGCTCAGCAGGGAGCCTGCTTCCTCCTCTGTCTCTGCCTGCCTCTCTGCCTACTTGTGATCTCGGTATGTCAAATAAATGAATAAAAAAAAAAAAAGAAAAAATCTTTAAAAAATAAAAATAAAACAAGAATAAAAAAAAAGAATTTGGTATCAAAATAATATTTCAAAAAATAACTTAGAAAATCCTTTCCCTTTTTCTGTGTTCTGGAAAAAGTGAAAAAGCACTGCAGTTATAATGTTCCTTAGCAGGTTCCTGGGCCTCATAGTGCTTTTTTGTGCACATCAGGTTTTGAAATTACCTGCGCACAATTTAGCAATATGATCACTTTCATTTAATTTTCTAAGTATCTGGGATTCATTCTCATATTCTGTGTGCCTTCACACACAGATTTTTGTGGGTTTTTTTTGTGATATTTGTGTTTTCTCCCTTTGTTCATGATTAGGCTCAACAGGAGTTTATCTGTTTAAAATTGTTACTAACATCTTCAAAAATATAAATGAAGAGCCCAAATCTCTTGGATTTATTAGTACCTCCATGTATATTTTCTAAATTCACCAATTTCTGCCTTTATATCTGCTAATATCTTCTTTCTTTCCGTTTTTTGTGTTTTTTTTTTGTTGTTTTTTTTTTTTTTGGTAACTTCTTGGGCTGAACTACTTTACTATCTCATTCTTTTCTTGGTTAGTAATTTATTTATATTTATGAATTTTCCTCTGAATACTGCTTTAGTCATATCCCAGAGGTACCAACACAGATGTCTGGCTATCAGTACTTTCTAGTTAATCTGGATTTGACTTTTCAATTTTTCATTTGGCCTGAGGGTTATTTAATTTTCTCAGATGGCAAGTTTTATACTTTCTTTTGCTTTAGTTCTAGTTAAGAATAAAGAGCACAATCTGCATATATCTCTGCTTTTTGGATTTGACTGATATTTTCTTTGAGGTCTAAGAGGTATGCTTGAAAAAGAATGTTTCCAGGATATGTTGTTATTCCATGTATCATGCTATTATATTAACCTTTTAAAGTCTTCTGCTACTGGGTCAGCAAACTGGCTTTCAGGACAAATGTGGCCCACTACCTGTTCTTGGAAATAGTTTCATTGGAACACGGTCCTGTTCATTCATTAACATGTTATCTATGGCTGCTTTCCCACCGTAACAGTAGAGCTGAGTACTTGACAAAAGAGACTATATGGTCACGACACCTAAAAAATTCACTAAATAAGTGAATAAATAATAAACTCACTAAAATATTACTTGCTGGAACCTTTTCAGATACCTCTCTTAATGCATTTTTTTTGCTCCAATCTGTCATTTTCTTCTAATAAATGAGTTTATCCATTTTATAATTTTGTATTTGTTTATATGACAAAGAGTTTGTCATAATTTTATCTTTTAAAAATCCTTTTAGCTTTTAATTTTTTATAACATATTTCACTATATAGTCTGTTTTTTGGGAAGATTTAGTCTATGTCCTTTAGATAACATCTCTTTACTCCACACTAAGAAAATTAGTATATAGTTGATCCCTGAACAATGCAGGAATTAAGGTGCACCAACACCCTACATAGTCAAAAATCGAAGTATATCTTTTGACCTTACTTACCTACTAAGAGCCTACTGCTGACCAGCAGCTTCACTGATAATACAACAGTTGATTAATACAAATTTCCCATGTATACATATTATATACTATATTCTTACAATAAAGTAAGCTAAAGAAAATCACAAGGGAAATACATTTACACTACTGTATTTACAGAAAAAAATCCAGTTTGGACCAGCACAGTTCAAACCACGCTGTCCAAGGGTCGGCTGTACTTAGCGTTACTGTTAGTGATCGCATGTTATGAATGATGAGAAAAATTTTCATTTTTATAACCATCTACCCAATCCCCAATTCTGAATTTTTCCTTCTATTTCTACATTACCACAATATTAATATTAGTTCTACATTTAATTTAATGCTAATCACCAATTATTTTAATTCATATTTTTTCAAGATTTTATTTATTTATTTGACACACAGAGAGAGAGAGAGAGAGAGAGAGACCGTTTGCATGCGCACAAGCAGAGGGAAAGGCAGAGGGAGAGGGAGAAGCAGGCTCCCGGCAAAGCAGGGAAAGCCCAATATGGGATTTGATCCCAGGACTTCGGCATCATGACCTGAGCTGAAGGCAGTGACTTAACCGACTGAGTCACCCAGGCGTCCCCAGATTTTGTCTTTAAGGTTTTATGTATTTATTTGACAGAGAGAGAGACAGCAAGAGAGGGAACACAAGCAAGGTGAGTGGGAGAGGGAGAAGCAAGCTTCCTGCTGCGCAAGGAGCCTGATGTGGGGCTTGATCCCAGGACCCCAGGATCATGACCTGAGCCAAAGACAGACACTTGCTTAACAACTGAGCCACCCAGGCACCCCTTAACTCAGTATTCAACTCATCTCTTGATTCAATAGTTTATAATTACCCTCCCTTCTCCTGCCTACCACCCCCAAGTCAACACCTGCAGGGCTGACTTAATGAGCACCAAGCCCTGGCTTTTTTTGGAAATATGTGTCAATTCATATTAAGCTATAGCTTGCCTGGACATAAAATTCTTGGGTCATATTTTTTTCTCTAGTGACTGTGTAGTTTTTTCCACGTTAGAAAAATGGAAAAGTCTTGGGGCGCCTGGGTGGCTCAGTGGTTAAAGCCTTTGCCTTCGGCTCAGGTCATGATCTCAGGATCCTGGGATCGAGCCTCACATCGGACTCTCTGCTCAGCAGGGAGCCTGTCTCCTTCTCCTCCTCTCTCTCTCTCTGCCTGCCTCTCTGCCTACTTGTGATCTGTCAAATAAATAAAAATC